ACTGCCTACAGCCTAACAAACATAATACTCATCACACTACAGTGTCCACAGCGTAACAAACATAATATTCATCACACTACACTCTCCACAGCCCAACAAACTCCTGCGAGACAGCATCGGGTTCAAGGAATACAACGTCGATGCGGTTCTGCGCGCACTCAGCGATGGCGCGGATTGCAATAAGACGTTGGCGTTGATTGGCGATGCAGCGCACATACTCGCAGCCGCCCCCAAAGCCAGTGTTAACGATGCGTGTGCTATTTTGGATGTCTTGTGTACTAACGGTCTCGCGGTTGATACGAGGAACAAGGTAAGGCTACGGCTATAGTGTGTGGTAGTGTCTTGTTATGCTTATTATGGGTGTGTTACAGTCAGGTAGGTGATAAGAACAGGGTAAGGCTACGGCTATGGCGTGAGTTTATGTCTTGTTATTGCTTATTATAAGTGTATTATAGTCAGGTAGGTGATAAGATGTAGCAGTTGATAAGAACAGGATAAGGCTACGGCTATGGTGTGTGTTAGTGTCTTTTCATCGCTTATTATAAGTGTATTATAGTCAGATAGGTGATAAGGTGTAGCAGTTGATAAGAACAGGGTAAGGCTAAGTCTATGGTGTGTTAGTGTCTTTTCATCGCTTATTATACGTGTATTATAGTCAGGTGAGTGATAAGGTGTAGCAGTTAACATTGGTAGCCAGTGCAGCGCACATACTCACAGCCGTGCCCAGAGCCAATGCTAACGATACTGTGTGCTACACTGGATGTCTTGTGTAGTAAGAGTCTCGCGGCTGGCACTAAGAAGGAGGCAAACGTTTATTCATAATATACGTTTAAACGTATTGTGGCACACGCCGAGATGTGTTACGTGTGACATGCAGAGTGTGATATACCTCTGCACGGATCACTTTATATTGCTTGGGTTGCTTGTGCTCTGCATACCTGGAGTTTACTACAGCACATGCCGTGCTCGTTGCCGCGGTGCATATGAACGACTGTGGTGCATGCATCACGTTACAACAGTCACACAACGCACAAAGCCTTTGTACCACACACGTACACTCAGGATGGAGACACCGTGCTGCATATTGCACTGCAAATGGAACGCATTCAGTTGAAGTTGCTGCGCCAGTTCATCGACAAAGGCGCCCCAGTGAACGCCGTTAACGCGCGTAATAGGTATGGTTAACGCGCGTAACAGGTACGTTTAACGCGCGTAACAGGTACGTTTAACGCGCGTAACAGGTACGTTTAACGCGCGTAACAGGTACGTTTAACGCGCGTAACAGGTACGTTTAACGCCGTAACAGGTACGTTTAGGGTACTTAACAGGTACATTTGCCTGTGCATGGGCGACCCATTGCAGCCTGTAAGGTGTGTAAACTGTCCTGGGTAGAGGTTAAGTAGATCTGAGCAATGTGGGGAGTATTTCTGCACTGGTTCTGCCTGATTAGCCATTCCAATTGGTTGTATTTAGCTGTTGACGCGTTCCTTGGCAAACACCTCTATATATGAATCATATTCTCGCCCAAACTTAAATGATCATACCCTGTTTTATAAACACTAAACCCTAAACCCTAAACCCAAAGATCCTGTTGATTTTAAATGGTACAATGGGTTTAATAAGTGTATCACGCCATGGATTTATTCTTCTTATTGACCGAATGAGGCAAGCGAGGCAAGCCACAACGTCCATGCCTCTCTGTCAGCACAAATTCAGACATAACCATAGACTGGGCAAACGTGACTAGGAATACTGGCGACGATGTCATTATATATCACTACATTTTTATTATAT